CCCACTAACAGGTTTCTGTTTTGCAGGTGCCAGGGTCAGAAGTTCTGACTCATACAGTTTAACCAAGAGGTTGATCATCTGGCAGCGGATTCGAGTCAGAACTTCTGATGACCTCTCAGAAGCAGCACTGGCTCTCTCTCCCTCCCTCTATCTTGTTTTTTGCTATTTTCTTTTTTGTCTATTTTTCTCGTTGAACCCCCCATGTACAAATGTGTATCCCCATCCCCTAATTGTTGTAATAGCGTAGGATTTTATATTTCCGCTTCTTATTGCTAGTAATTAGGACATGTATGGCAAGATAAAATCAATGAAATAGAAAATCCTAATTCAAAGAAAAAAACTCTTGTATGCAATAAAACACACATATCACACTTGCACCCCTAGGGTATTCCACTTGTTGCCTTCAAATAATGGGCCATATTGCATGTTAGGTCTCTTTGGGCAAAACAAACACAATTCAAATGATCATAGTCCCTCGATGACGCTTTCGAAAAGTTGCCTAAAAATGATCAAGTCCCTTAAAGGAAAATTGCCCAAAGATGCTTGGCACCATTGCAATTATGGTCTAAACAATGACCCGCGCCCGTCCCTTTCACATCCTAACACAAGATTGTCCACCAAATGCAATGGTGGAACAAAATTGTTAAAAGGGTTAAAACATAACAAAAATCTTTGAGAACTTTAGGGTAGATAGCTCTTAAGTACTTGCCAACTTGCAAAACAAAAACACTTGCCTATTTTTCAAACCACACTTCACAAACACTTTCAAAACAAACTTTCAAAAAACCTTGAAACATCTTTTCAAAAAGACATACACCTTTGTATACATCCCAACATGGATCATTACAAAGGTTGCCACCACATTGGCTTCTTTTCAAAACATTTTTAAACCCACACACACAAAGCACCATTTCAAACAATTGAAAATTAAGGCAAGTTGATCTAAGCAAGTAACTAAGAGCCCATGGATAACCATGGATAGAAAGGGTGCTAATACCTTCCCTTTCTATAATCTACTCCCCGAACCCAAGAAAACATCTCAAAGGTTTTTGCTGTGCTTTTTAAACCTTTCCTTAGGATAAAATAAAAAGTCGGTGGCGACTCTTGCTCAACCGAAACATTTGCGAAAACAAACGCAAAACCCCAAGTCAGTTCTCCCACCGTATCACACTTACTTTTTTTTTCGTTACTGTTTTCTGTTCGTCTTTTTCTCGTCCTCTTCACTGTAATCAAAAGTCTGTTTTTATAGCAAAATTAGGGCCTAGAAATTTAGGTAAACAATAAATTTTTCCGTGATTTTAATTAGTTTTTTTCTTCTGAATTAGGCATGTATTTGAATTGTTTGTTCGTAATTGAATTTTGTTTTCTGCATTCGAATGATGTTTCCGATTTTGGTTGAGATCTATTTCTGCATTTTAAAACTATTGTTTCTGCATTTGAAGAACATGTTTTTTCATCCACGCGCGTCTTGGATCTCTACAGTAAACGTTTTCCTCTGATGATTTTTTTTGGAACAACAAAAACGTGTTTGTTTATTTTGACTTGGGCCAGGCCGTTTCTTTTTATTTGGGCCATAAGTTTGTTTTGAGACAGCAACAAGTTTAAACAAAAAAAAACACTAATTTGGGCCTTAAAAAACATGTTAAAACGTTAAACAAAATTTAATGATATAATATTTAAAATGAAAATAGTTCTTCAAAATAAGTAAATAAAAAAAACTTGCAATGGGTTTGTGGCATTTTGGGCCTGCTAAAGAATAAAACAAACACTTTAAAAAATCAATAATAAATAAAAAACAGTTTCTCAAAAAAGAAATGGGCTTGCGATATGTTTTGGGCCTGCGCTTTTCCTTGGGCCTGCAAGAGAAACTCTCACGTTTTATTTTTAATAAGAAACAAAAGATCATTTTTAATCAAAAGTTTAGTAAAAAAAAGAATGGATCAAAAGTTCACTCTATTGGGCTTTGTTCTCAAACGATTTGCTATGGGCTTTAACGAAAAACAAATTCTTTTCACACCCTCTCAACCTTACTTAATAACCTGAATGGGCCTTTTAGAGATTTATTCACACCTTATCTAAAACAAATACACCCCTTATTAAGAAACATACTCCATTTTAAATTTTAATGGGCTATCAGATATTGATGGCACATTTTAAATCGACATGCTCCTATTTTTATGTTTTAACCTCCCCATACAACATAAAAGTTAAATAATACAATTTATTTAAAGGAAATTTAAGTATAAATAAGGGTAGGGCAAATTTGGGGTATGACAACAAGCCGAAATGTCCACACCTTGTAAAGAAGAGTCAACACAAGAAATCTAGAAAGTCTAGAAAAGCTTATGTGGCTTAGGGAATAGCAAAGTGATAATGAAGAATCAACAGCCGTGTATCTCTCAGCATATTATGATAAAAAGAAGAAAAATGATATGAAACCATCAAAATATGATGAAGTTTGTCTCTCGCCTCATTATCATGAAAATAAGAAAAAGGGTGTCAAACCATCGAAACATGATGAGCTTTGTCTCTCATACCATTATCATGAAAGGAAGAAAAAGAATGTATGTCATCCTAAACATGAACATATTGATATATTATCTCATTCCATATTACTAGATGCTTTTGAAAATCTACATAGAGAAGCGATGGAATCTTTCAAAAACTAGATTCAAACAACAAGATCTTTTCATATCTGGAAGCTAAGGTTGTTGAAACAGAAAAGCAAATAGAAGCTCTAAAGTATTATATGGTGGAAGTTCAAAAAGTACAAGATGAAAATGAAAAACCCTCGTGGTTTTACTTTGGTTGTGATACTTATCACATTTGGAAAAATGAGGTTAAATCTCTAAAGGTCAAATTAAACAAGGCTCTAGAATCAAAGGTAACATTTTCCATTGATACCTCAAAATAAAAATTGCCCTCTCATAATCCTTATAGGAGGTATACATTTTTTGAAAGGGAATCAAAGGACAAAAGCTCATCTCATCTTAATTTGACTTGTCACTATTGTTGTGTGAAAGGTTACAACATTACTAAATGCAAACTTAGGAAGTTTTTACTTCCTAAAGGCGTTTATCAATGGTTGTCTAAATACAACCAAGGTTCTACTTACCCTCAAGGACCAAATAAAGATTGGGTACCTAGTTTTTCTTGTTGATTTTACATGAAAAATGTCTTGGTTCTATGAAGAGAATATGGATTCTCATTTATGGTAGCTCAAGGTATATGATAGGTGACGTGTCCAAATTCCATTGATTTTATGGCAATGAAGAATGAGTTTGTGACCTAGAAAGCATAAATAAGTATCCCTAAATTGGTAAAATCTATGTAAGTTACTTTCAATTATTAATACCCAAGAAATACCGAAAAATGTATTTTGTTTCATGTTGTAGGTGTATCTTCAATAAGACATACTCAATGATGCTGGAGAAGGAATTAATCAACCTGAATCAGTGAAACATGAGGAGGAGAAAAATAACTATCATGAAATGGACAAAGATGAAAGTTTAATCAAAATAAATGGTTTTCAAATATATGGCCTTCTTGGATTCATTACAAGTCATACTTTTTAGTACTTTTTCAAAGTGAAAAGTGGTAAGAACGTTGGTGTCTAAAGCTTTTGTGGTACGTTGTTGCATTTGTTTCAACTTTTGTTCAAAACTTCCTTGTGAAATGCAAAGTGCATCCTCTGTCATATTGAACGGTGATGTAGTATCATTTCAATCTTTCACTTTGTATGTAAGTCTTCTCTTTTACCTGTTTATTTTTAAAAGGTATGTGACATACTAGATGTGTGATATATGTTATGAGTGTTCATTTCCAAAAATTTCTAATTGACAACCATTGTGTGTTTTCAATTTACATGTTTATAGTGACCTCATTCTAGTTCATCATATGAATATATTAACATCTTTTGTATGTATATGTTTATATGTTGTTTATTTCCATCAAATCATGAAAATGATCATTTACATGTGCATTTCATAACCATTAATGCATGAGTAAAAATTGTGTCACTCAAAACAAACCCAAAATCTTGTTTCACAATATAATATTTCCTTTATGTGTATCATGTGTCGACACGCATATGTCAACACATATTTCAATAATTAAAATTATTTTTTTCAGTTTAGTATGTGTCAACACATGGGTCGTGTGCATCGACACATGAGTCCAACAAAGGTTGACGCGTGCATTACTTGAGTCATCCATTTCAAATTTATGGCTTATCTCTTCACATTCCTCTTTGTCTCTTATTCATGCACCCATCTTAAAAATTCTCCAAATTCAAATTTTGTCTTGATACAATTCAACCCACATATTTAATCTTCCACTAAACCTATTAAATCTCTCACTACAAATCATTCCACTTAACTTTTACCAGCTAGTCATTAAAACCCCACCAAAATCTCTCTTATATAAAACCCTTGTTCTTTAACTTTCTAAAATACACCCACATCACCTAATTCACGAATTTGAATTCATCTGTTGTGGAATTATCATTTTTGTGTGTTTTTGCATCATTATCTAGCATTTGGGGTTTGTGGGTAACCAAAAATCTCCCAAACAAATAGTTGTTTCATTTAGAACTTTGATCAAACACCTTCCATGCAAGCTAAGTTTGCTAATTTCACCATGCCTCCAAGATTTACAAGAAATAAAGGGGATGATGAGGGCAAGGGTAAGGCTCCTTCTTCATCACATGAGCCTGAAAATGCTTTTGCTTTCATTAATGATAAGGATGTCACCTTCTTTGATGAAAAGTGAAAAAATAGGCTTTTTGTAAAACACATGGGTATAACCCAAGTGTGGTTGAGGAACTTAATATTCCTTAAGTGGTAGATCGCATTGAGCATCAATGAATGAACTACTTCCTGGAGCTGTCTCAAGATTACAATGAGGATCTCATTCAGTTTTTCTATGATGGGTTGGATAAGCATTGTGGAAATGAGTTTATGTTCAGAATGAGAGGTAATGATTATCAATTTACTAAAAATATGTGGAAATCGTTGTTTGGTATTTTGATAACTAGTGATGATGATGACAAAAACGAATTTCCTAAGATATCAAACACAAATGTTCATGACCTCTTTTATTGGAGAACTCACTCTAATGAATTGTTAAAAGCTCCCCGGGCTGATAACAATTATGAGAACATTACAACTGACCATATGAAACATCTCCCTTACATATTGAATTTGGTTGTATCTCATATCTTACGTCCAAAGAATAATGGACATTCAAGGGTTGACCAAATGGAGTTCCACACTATTTACATACTTCTTCATAAAATTAAGATCAATTGGAAAAATTACTTTGTCACTCGTATGTTCGCCATAAAGAAAGTTAACAAAGGCTCTTTCTTCTACTATGCTTACATGATTGCCAAGATTCCCAAATCCTTCAACATTGAAGTTCCAACTCTTCTTTTCATCTATCCGGGAACATCTCAACAATTCAATTAAACTACCTTGACTCACATGGGGTGTTTTTGGGATAAGGCCTCAAATACATATTTCTTCTGTGTGGCGGGTACTCACAAAAATATTTTTAGTTTTGATGATCCTACTAAGTTTGAGGTTAACATAGATGCTCCAATGATTAATGAGCAACCTATTGGTGACATTAATCAGGATAATATTCACATGGCTGATGCTGATTATGAGCAAGAGGAAGCTTGAATGAATGTTTCTGCTGATCAAGAATGAGACAATGGCCACAAGAGAACCGACCACAACAGGATGATGGTGGTTAGAAAGGGCATAGATATGGTTCTCAAGGAAATTATTTTGCGAGTGCATCGAGAAATGAGCCAGTCTTAATGGATATGCTTCAGAATATGCAGCTAAAGCAGGATGAGTGATATGAGGAAGAATTGCTTTAGAGGATAAATTTCTAGGCTGCTCAAGAGGAAAGGTTCAAACTTGCTCAGAAACACTTGGCCTCACAAGATTCAAATTTTAATGCATTTTCCGCCCATGCTACTATGCAGTTTCTGTTATCCACATTGACATAAGTACCAACACTGCTGCTATACATACCAGAATTAACAACATGATGACTCTTGGAATTCAGAATCATGAAGAGAGCTAGGAATTATATCAGGATATGCCTAGTTTAATGGATCTTGATGTAAGACCATTTCATAGAAGTCACAGGGCTCGTTAGAGTGTGGTGCTTTTAGTTCTTGTTGGTTCATGCATTTCAGCTCATGCATTTTTTTCTTGTATTTTATGTCACTTTCTTGGTATGTTTTTTTGTTTATTGTTGTTCAATAGCAACTGTCATTTCTTTGAAGCGAAAATAATGTTCTATGTTTTAATTTTCTATTTATGACAATGTCAAACAATTTTGCATTAATGTTGTTTGTTGTTGTCTTGCTATTTATGGTTATACTTTTGCAGCACTCCATGTATATGGGTATATGTGAGTGCATGTTCCTACTTTTGCAAAATGCCTTTGTGTGATATATTCGTGTTTGTGTGAATAAGGATACTTCTCATGGTGTGCTTTTTCTCTTTTTGATGTTTTCAAAGGGGGGGAATCATAAAGGAAGATTGATGCATAGGGGGGCCTTCATGAGGACACAAAAAGGATAATCACAAGTTTAAAAGTTTTTCCATCATCAAAAAGAGGGAGTGTGTGAATGCATTTGCCTCTTAGAAAAATGTTTTGCATGATGTCAACACTATGATAGTTTTTTTTTTGTATATTAAACGGTATCTTTGAGTCATTGTGTGCACCTTTACATCATGGATGTTAGAATGCATCTAAAACATGTTTGAAAAGGTTTTCAATAGGTATCATGCACTAAAAATCAATTTTTGCATAAAAATTAGTTGCATGTGTCGACACATACGTTATATGCGTCAACACATGTGGATCATTAATAAAGCATGTAGGCTCTATAGCTATGTGTCGACACATTCTTCATTTCAGGTCGACACATTTCATAATGAAAACTTATATGTGTCGACACACATGTGTTTCGTGTCGACACATGTACTATTGTTTTAAATCATGTATCTTCTGTAACTTCGTGTCGATATAATAACCTCATATAGATCGACACATGTCATTACATGAGTCGACACATGTGCCAGGATTTCTCAAAATTTGTTTTCCTTTTCAAACTTCTAGGTTTCTCTTTTTCCTAAAACTTGCACACCTATATATACTTCATACACTACTACAAAACGCGCAAACAACAACACCATGTTTACGACGTATCCATATACACCGTAGTAATAGGTTATAATTTTCGTGCCCAGTGAGTTGCTAGATTTATTAATGATGGTTCATTTTAAACACCATAGTAAAAAATGATGTCTAGCACGCTTCAATTCCCAGCAACCACATTGTTTTCATTTTTTTAGAGTATATTAAGTGTGTTTCACCTATCTCCACTATTTAAAAAATAAATTGTAAATGATTTAACAATGGTGAACACGTAAATCGTTGTTAAAAGACTTAAGTTTCCACTACGGTTTTTTTGTTCAACCGCGATTAAAGGGTATATTGATAAATCAAAACAAAACTCTTTTCCTATTTCTTTCATAAGACGCCCTAGGTGAACAAGCGAGCCAGAGACGACAGAGGTGGCTCAAATCTTCGTATCCATTCATTTGGAGCTCAAATCTCCGTTTAATTGATTCTTCAGCTTCGTAGTATGGTACTCTTCAACATCTTCATTCTTTTTTTAATTTCTTTGTTTATGTTGTATATGCTCAAATCTTCACCCTCTTTGTTCAATTGATTCTTCAACTTTGCAGTATGGTAATCTTCAACATCTTCATTCATTTTTTCTTGGTTTATGTTGTATATGCTCAAATCTTCATTCTCTTTGTTCATTTGATTCTTTGGCTCCGAAGTACGGTACTCTTCAACATCTTCATTCCTTTTTTCTTTGTTTATGTTGTATATATGCTCAAGTATGTATGAGAGTACATTTTTCATATGCTTTAGGTTTAGATTTGCATATGCTCAAGTTAGTTTTTGGATTAGATTTTGGTGTGTAATTCACATAATTATACGTGTATAAACTTCAGAAGTTATTATGGATTATAGTTGCTGAAAGCCAATAGATTAGGTCCGATTTAAGAGAATGGAGTTCTTGAATATGCTGATAAACATCTTCCGACAATGGTGGTATCTTTTATTTTCCTTGTGTTGTTTGTGCGAATATCGATAAGGGTACAAAGGAAGAAATATTCCAACACCTTTGTTGTGATGGTATATGTCAAAATTATATAATATGGACGTGGCATGGTGAGGTGGATAAAGAGAAAAGTCGGGTGTCACAAAGTCAAAGAGTGGATGAAGATGAATATATGGAAGATCAACTAGAGTACATGTTCCGTGATATTGAGGAATCTTATTTTAGGAACGCTCATATTTATGATACTATATGTAGTGATAAAGACGCCCTTTTATATAAGGGATGTACAAATTTTACACGATATCGATGGTGTTTGTTTCACCCCAAAATTTACCCTCTTAATTTAGGCTTATGTTTCATCATGAATATCATATTGCATTGCATTCATACATTATGATGGGATCAAAATACTTTGGTTATCAAGTCTTCCTCAAGCTTTGAAGGTTGATTGCATTGACAAGTTGCTCAAGTAGAACCTTATCATCTAAACCTCTATATCTTTCAAGCTCAAAAGTTATTGCATATCTCAAGATATTTTATCCATCTCTTTGGATCATCAGAGGATTGAAGTTTGAGATTGATTATAAGAGGGATCACTCTTTTGATTCACCAGTCAAATTAGGGCTTTGTTTGATCAAGGCTATTGATCAATGTAAAAATCTTGATTTGGAAGCTACCACATCTCATTGGTATTTGAAAAGTCTTTGTACAAGAAATTGGTCAAGATGCCCAGAGGATTTGAAATTTTGGAGATGATTCATCAGTCTCCTAAGGTGTTAACCAAAACTAGGGTTTGGGATTTCATCAAGATTTCTTGAGAATTTTGAAGTGAAACTTTGTACATGGCCTCTATATATTTGGAAGATCATATGTTTTAAGTTTTGATCATCAATTTTGAAGGGAAGTGGATCAATTGATTCAAAGGGGCAAAATGGTCATTTTGGTCAAAATCAGTCAAAGTCAAGGTTGACCAAGGGAACTTTTGGTCAACCATCAATTCAAGGGTTTACTTTTAATATTTCAAGTCCATTTTGATCATTGGATCAAAAAGATTGAGGTTTGGGTTGAAACTTGTTCATGAAGAAACCCTAAAAGTTTCTAATTTTGGAAAATAAGGACTTAACTTCAAAAATTCATATTTTATTCACCTTTGATCAAAAAATGCAAATGAAGTATGCTTGGAAACATAAGAGGATTATCTTTCATCTCCTTTTGGTCTCATGTCCAAATTATCAAAGAGTCAAGAGTTATGGTCTTTGGAAGTTCATGCCTCAAGTTAAAATTATAGGTCATTTTCCAAATTTAGTGAATTTCATGTCAAATTTTGAGGACCTTAATGGATTCAATTGCAAAAAATCAAAACTAAGGTATTGTATATATTTTCAATACCTTTCCAAATTGTACTCATTTGTGTCCAAATTCAAAAATATGAGCAAGTTATGAGCTTTGTAATCTTCAGGCATTTCATTGAATTTTGACCAAGCAAGCAATTTGCAAATTCTTGATAATCTGATTTGTGGCCCTTTGTTTCACTTCAAACTTGGCCCATGGCTCATTTTCAATGTACTAAGGCCCATCATGCCAAAGTTTGAGCTACACATGGGAAAATTCAAGGGCAATCCGTGGTTTTGCAAAAAGTGGCATGAAAATGCCTAATCACCAACACTTGGTTAATATAAGGAATTAAGCCTTGATCTTTGGTTAACCTCTTCCTGAGATAAAAAGAACTGAAATGCACGTAAAAGGATAAAGAATGCACGAGGGATTTTGGTGCTTCATGTGCACACTTCACTTTTTCAAAAATGGGAATTCATTCTTTCTAACGGTTTTCAGTGTGAAAAGCCTATCCTATCCTCTTCTTCATGCTCTATATATTGAGAGGTAAGCTTCGTTGAGCCTCATTGGTGCTTCATTTCATCCCTGAGCTCAAAAAACTCCATAGCCACTTGTTATGCAAATTTCTTTGATTCTCTCAATTTACTTGCGCGTTTTAAGTATTTCTTCTTGCATTCTCTTCTCCAAGTGATAAGGATTGTAGATCGAGGCTTGGTTTGCAACTGGAGTGAAGGAGACAGTAGATTCGTTTTTGCCTCAAAGGTTAGAATTCTTAACTTTGGATCTTGATTTCTAGCCGTGCATTGTTTTATTTGAGCTCGTAATCATGTTGTTTGAGGTTCATTAAGTGTTTCTATAGCTTCAGAGCTTTTGACTTGATGAGATGTGCATGTATGATGCATCTGAAATTTTCTGCTCAGTGAGTTTTTGCCATTTTCATGCGATCTGTTCTTGATCTATGGTTAATTATTT